TTGCTCCTTTATCACGAAAATCAAAGGCATTGCCCTTTCACACACACTCGCAGTGTCTCCCTGCCTTTAATTTCCACAGGCCCCTGCATTCCTGAGATGCATGGCTTTGGGAAAGTTGGTCTGAGTCTCAGATGTTCTTCACATGGGCACACCGAGTCCAGTTCCCCTTTGCACCACCCAGGGAATCAAGGCTAATTCTGAAGCATATTACCTTAAAAAACATAAAACCAAACCAAACAAAAAATCCCATGGATACCATGATCCCTTTCCAGCCAGAAGATTCCATTGTTTTCCTGGTCGTAAACATGGCATCCCATGTTCCTCCTCTTAGCGTGATTCATGAAGGCTTAATTTGCGCAGCATGGAACTCACCCACCATAAGTGTAATGTTGCATGCTCTCCCACTAACCTTGGAGTTGTGCAGCCATCACCACCATCCGGTTCTGGACTGTTTGTATCACCTACAAAGAGCCTGTGTGTCCATTTGCAGGCAACCCTTCTTCTTACCCCAGGAAACCACAAATCTCTTTTCTGTCTCTCTAGAGTTGCTGTTTGGGGTCACTTTATAGAAATGAAATCATATAATGTCTCGTCTCTTGTGACTGGCTTATTTCACTCATTATGTTTTTGATGATCATCCACGTTTCACTGTGTTGCCCGAATAATACATTTTATGGCTATGCCATGTTTTGTCAACCCATTCACCAGTTAGTGGACATTGGGGTTATTTCACTTTGAGGCTACTTTGAATCACCCTCTCCTATGGTTGATGAACTAAATGTGGGTGGGTGGGAAAAGCTTGAGGTTTGGAGTCAAGAGTCTGAGTTTGGGGCCCAGCTCTGTCATTTACTGCCTTGGTTAATTATAAAATCGATTCCCTTGTATTAGTGTTTAAATGGAGCCCCTAGCTTACAGAAGTAAGGCTGAAAGCCCCAAATCCATTTGCAGAGTCTTTGTATGGTAGAAGCCTCCCCTGAATCCCTTCTGATCATTAACCAGACATGCGATCAACTTTTCCCCCCAGGCAGAGTGGATTGCCTCTACAGACAACACATTACCTCCTCCTCACTCCAACCAGTGCAGGGAGGCACCGCCCTTTTAGGGGCTTGCCTGGATGTGTTCTTGATGGGTTTCAAAATCAGGAGCCATACCCTGAGTGCCTTGGGTCAGAAGGCCCTGGACCAATCTTGTAAGCCTCTTGTATCTTACCTAATGTGCATGTCCCAATCATGGTTCCCCTCCTGCTTCTGTAGTCCCACCTGTACCTGTGACGTCTTGACCTACCACCAGTCAGGCTTTTGCGACAGTTTCCTTTGCCCTCCCATGTCCTGTTTTTAAGTCTCTCAATCTCAGCAAATCCTTAGGCACCATTATGACCTCTTGGTAATGGTGTCCCCCCCATCCAGATGATATTTCTTTGTCTTTGTCATCTTCATGACTTAAAAAAAGTTATCCTTAAATTATACTTGAGATATGGAATCTCTTTTGGATGTCCTATTTTGGAACAAAACAAGACAAAAATATAGAAAGTGTTGGAAACCAGATCAGGTCCAGCGTGCATCAGAGGGGGATCAACTGACAAAGTTGTAACTGTTCAAGTCGGATTTATCCCTTTGATCTTCTAAACTCATCTCTCCTATCCACTCTGTTTAGTCACCACTTTCCTCCCATCCTCAATTGTGAACAGAGGGAGTTCACCAGGGGCTTATTTCCACAACTGAATCTTGGGCTCTCACTGTCATCCATAGTCTTCTGGAAACCTGATTCTCACAGTTTAGGCTGTGATACTAATCCCTCCTTTGACTTCAAATTATATGATTTACAGTCCTTCGGTGACTGATGATGGTGTGCTTCATCTATGTGGTCTTAGTTGACATCGCATTTCGATGGCTGCTTGTTTGGAGGCAAGCCTTTAAGACCCCAGATTTTACTGTATCTGATAGGCAGGTACCATCTAATTCCTTCACCACATTTTGCTAGAACACCTGTATCTTCTGCGTTCCCTTCCTGAGGGCGAGTACTGAGCAGGGCCATGAAGTTTCATGTCATGTCTGGTTATTTGACTTCCATGAAACCTAATGAATATTTTCCTTGAGAAGCTTTGCCTCAAACAGATAGAACCAGATAGTACTTTCTCATACCACTCCATCCTGAGGTAGTATCACAGGTAGGACTCTCCGTGATGTCTACCTTAGCCACTTCTAAGAAGTTTTATCTGAAATTTCAGAGGAGAGCCTAGAATGGAAGGGCTCCAGGCTGGGAGACGTGGCTGACCCCAGCTTACTGGAACCTGAGGCAGAGGAGCCGAGTGCCCAGTCTGATCCTCTAATGGAGGCCACAGCCCAATCCAGTCTTAGGACTCCGGCAGTTCCAGCACCCTTATTCAAATCACTAGACTGTCTCCTTCCCAAAGCAGCAAATCCCCAGACAGACATCTCCAGCCCTCCCTGAGCTTGCGCAACAGAGGCCACTGAGGGGAAGTAAGGCTAGTCCTGCTACACGCCTTCTCCTCTGGGAAGCCCTTTCTTCCCTGGTCA